CAAACGTATATTTGCTATAGCAATCGACTACGTTACTTATTTTCGTATAAAAGTAGGGTTTCGAGACTACTAGTAAATGAGTAATATGAGATGTATTCGCCCAATTTCGTCTCATATTACTGATTTACTGGTAGTCTCGAAACTCTACTCTAATATGGAGTCTTGAGGTTCATTGGAAAGTGTATCGTGGACCAGTTTGCCCAAATCTCATGTCACAAATCAGAGGTCATGCTTCTTCGGTTTCATTTCGAACAACATGAAAGTTACGCCAACATCACACTAGCATATTGCCATTACACTCGATCATGTTACTTATACTCATAATGAGTAGGCATGTGGACTATCGATAGATCTTGAATAAGAGCTGCATTTCCATAAATTATGCTCTTCAGTTCGCTACTTCAGCCTACTACTGCCACCTATTTGAGTAGCTTTAGAGACTCGGTTAACAATTCCTCCGCCACGTGCCGTCATTTCAATTCAAACCCAACTCTAGACACACTGAAGACTGTCTGCTAGTAAAAGACGCCCGATGCCTACCCACCTACGCAACACGTTCGTGCACACATACACTCACACATGTACTCACGAACACTGACACATACACAAACTCAAACATAAAATCACACCCAAACACACATTCGTACACACATACAAACTTACCCACAGTCTGAGACATACTAAAGCACACATACACATTCATACACACTAACTCAGCGTCGGGACCTTGAGGAAATCGGGAGCCACGGCGACTGCAGTGCCTTGTAGAGGAGGGAAACCCAGTCTGCCTCAAGCAGGTTTGCAGGTCAGTTGGTCCGTTTGTCTCTCAGTCGTTCGCTGATACCCACACCAACTTTGTGTGTGTGTGTGTGTGTGTGTGTATGTGCAAACGCAAGTTCTGCAATGTTGCCCAAGGGCAACATTGGTATCTTTTTGGCATTGCCCACGCACCTTCTTCCCATCTTGCCCCCTCCACACCGCTAAGTGGGTGTAGACCGAACATTAAGCATCCACTTTCCCATAAAGTGGTCGTCGAATGGCAAGCTGTCTGTCTGTCTGTCTGTCTCTTTGCACATCCGCTTGCATGCATGCACGCAATCGGCGGTACTCTGCCGCCAACTAACCAGCCAAACTAGCGGATCGGCAAGTGCTGGTCGAAGAGTTCTTTGACGGGGTTCTAACCTGGTACTCTTCAGCCATGGCGACGCGAATCACGGAGTGAGGAGTAGACTGATCTTGTCTGCTCATCTGCCGTCGAGACATCCGGTCTCAGGGCTCAGCAACACGCTCGATTCGGGCTGGATTGACTCGCCAGTCGACTGGCGACTGAGCCAACACAGACACAAATGGGGAGGTATCGGGTTGGCGTCCAAGTGGTAAAGTGATAAAGTGCCCCAACAGGCTCTCCTGACCACTGGAGGTATCAGAAAATGCCGGTTCAGGCATGCATTTAGTGCACAGGAAAACAATGCTTTTGCCAAAAGAGCCAGTTCAATTGTCGACGAAAAGTCTGTTTCTGCCCTGATGTCTGCGATTCTGC